ATTAGAGAAAGAAGATTAAGAGTGTGAGAGGTTGAAGAAAGAAAGGGTTTTGAAAGAGAGAAAGAGAGATGGTGAAAAACAGTGGTTTTGGTCAGATTATGGAAGAAGAAGATCATCCTGGATTCTTCAAGATTCTTCGAAAAGGAGATTTATCTACGGAAATCATGGTAACTCTCTTAACTTCCCAATACCTCATTACAGATTTTCTTGTTAGATTTTTGTCTGAAATGTAGAATCTTTTGGTTCTTCCATGTTCTAATGGATCTCTATAGTAAATTTGCTGCTTTTCTCTTCACTCGCCAAATCATGGACTTAGATCTGTTAGCTCTTAGTGAGGTTTTGCTCTGTTTTTTGGTTGGGGTTTGTGTGTGAAATTGTCAGACCAAATCGACTTTACAAGTGAAAATGTTGAAGACTTTGACGACAAGTGCTTAATGGATGTTAAAACTTTATTTGCTATCTTTTGGTTTTGTTGTGCCTTCTAAAGAGAGGGATTCCTCACAATTTTATAAGAAGCATCCCGGACAAGGATTTTTCGTATAAGATGGTCTTAAAATTGCCATGGGGAAGCTCATGGCCAGTCAAAATCTCCAAGAATCCACACTTCTACTACATGGAGAAAACCGGATGGGAGCAGTTTGTGAATGACAACGGTTTAGGCGATAACGAGTTTCTTACCTTCACTCATATGGGAAATATGTGCTTTAGCGTAAACATTTACCAAATAGATTGCAAGGAAATGCTTAAACCAAAACAATCTCCAACCATTGCTTCTTCTTCTTTAGGTAAGTTTCCATCTATGTGATTGCTTTTTTTGGAATGCTTACGGAAAAGAAGAAGACTAGTTTCGTGGTTTGATTTCGATGAAAACAAACAGGTCGGAACAAGAGAGAACAAGTGAATAATAACTTTTACAAAGGTGTGAAAAAGGAAGAGGTAGAGTCTTCCTCTAACTCGAGATGTCATGTTCCAAACACAAGATTGAAGCTTAAGAAAGAGCTTAACTTGGGAAAGAAGAAGGAGGAAGTGGATACTACTAATAGTGATGATCTTGAAGCCAACACTTCGTCTCCTGTTCCAGAATTTACTATCACCATAAAGAAATCGTACCTCGCCTTCTTGGTAAGAGAATCTTGAACACTGTCAAGTTTGGTGAGAAGTAATCCATTTATTGAATTATGTGAAAATTGCAGGGGATTCCGAAGAAGTTTGTGAATATGCATATGCCGAGAGAGTCAAAGGTGTTCAAGATTCATAATTCTAATGGGAAGAAGTCATGGGAGGTTATGTATGTGGTGACTAATTTACAGTCAAGATTCTGTGCTGGTTGGATTCGTTGCGCCAGAGAGTTACCTTTACTAGTCGGAGATGTTGTCACATTCAAGCTCATCGAACCGACGGAGATGCTTGTTGTCTCCAAGAAGAGAAGAGGCTCTATGATCAAATGATGATGAATGTATGTGAAGTGATCACTTCTCTGAGTCTCTAGTTTGTGTCAAGAAGAACCAATCTTCTTCATTTGTGTGTTATGTATTGCTCTTGAGACTTTTGTAAAATGGCTCTTCTCTCCGGTTCGGAATTACAATTTCTCTTAACCGAGAGTTTAAAGTTTTCCGGTTTAATTCGGTTATTGATTCTTCTCTTCCTTTATCACTTCTCTTAACCAATTCAGAATTCAATTTCATTTGATCAATTCGACACCACAATCAATCCCAAAACGCAGAACCAATGGAAGCTCGTAATCTGAGAGCGGTGGCTCTTATCGCTGGCGATAAGAACGTACGAGGATGTCTTCAATTCGTACAAGATACTTCCGGTGATCTTTCTTGTCTTTTTTTATCGGCGTACGAGTTTCTAATCTACGAGGAAAA